CCGTACCATAAAATGTTCGAGAGCCTCTGCTAGAGATTGCTCACTGGCCGGTTTATCCGCGGCGAACAATACCACTCTCAGTAGATAGCGATAAGACAAATTATTATCGATCGTCAGTTCATATTGTTCGATTCGGCCGTTTGTCAAGTGACGAGAAACGGGTTTGTAATCGTTACCCGCGTGGTCGCGTATTATTATTGGTGGGCATCATTATTTATCAGTTGTTACCACCCGGCACCCGCATTCAGCAATCTGCCGTTCCGGCAATGAAATATGGTCAGTTGATAAAATATACTACGTAATTGCCTATCAAAATTAAACGCGTATTCGTTTCAATAACTAGCGATTTTTTTTTTTTTTTTTTTTTTTTATACGTATACGTAAATATATATTTATTTTATTTTATTTTATTTATTTATTTATTTATTTATTCATGGCGACAATAACGTAATTTTACTTAACATAAAATATTAAATATAAATTATAAATAAATGTATACATTTGCAATAATTATAACTCAATCAATATTGCGGCACTCCCGAAAATCAGAGCTTGTGCTGGCAGTGCGAGTTCATAGAAGGAAAGAAATGTAAAGTAAGAACACAAATGATAATTAAAAATAAAAATTACAATTACAAAGAGCCAGAATAAGGAAACTTAATAAAACTAGACACAATTAATGGAATAGAGCGTCAATGAGGCATCAAATTTAATAACAAGAGGCCAATAAAGAAAAACAAGTGAAATAAAATAATTTTTTAATTATTCATTCATTATTCATTTACAGACTAGACGAGATGGTATTATATTGAATCTCGTAGAATTAAGCCTTTTATTTGTTCGAAGAAAGATTTAAGATTTAGTTAGTTCAAGTGTTCAAATTATATTACGACCAGACGTAGGAGAACGGTGTTGAAGTAGGTATAGGTAATATCGACTCGATATTAAAAATATGAAGTTCAGAAAATATTCTAAGTTCAAAACATTTAAAATTCGCATAAATAGTCATTCTAAGTCAAATAAATATAATTAACTAATAAACACGAGTTCAGATATTCATAAAATAGAGTGATGCGAAGTTGGTCGCAATAAATCGCGGTGGCAGGCCCGAATTAAGGGAGGGGCAGAGGGGGTCATGGCCCCAGGCTCCTGGATATCGTAATATTGTGGGCTTCTGGCCTGGTTGGTAGTACTGTATTTAGTCTTGTATGTAGTACTGTATTTACGTCTTGCAGTTAATCCATCTACATTTTACTCATCGGCTGGTACGTGACGTATCGTACAACGACAGTGTATGATTTTACAGTTAGAGGTTTTAGGACTGAGTTGTGCCCCTGGATACTTACGTATTGCAAGAGTCAGTACGTTCACAGCACTAGGTAATTTCGCGAACCGGATTTGGTTATTCGGCTCGTTCAATAATCGTTCGGCACCGCACGCGGTATTGTCCTGTCCTACTCTGGGCTCATCCGTGATTATCTATGAAGAGCGTTTTTACAATTGCTTAAAAATTTAAAATACTTTAAAAAACTGGTAAAATATAATTTCATATAGTTGAAACAATTAAATTACATTTTTTTTTTTTTTTAAAGTTATAATATTATTAGATATACCTAAGTAAAATTAAATTACGTAAATGAGCTTTGGCACTCTGGCACATATAAACTTAATACAGTTATAATATTTAATAAATTTAAATACTAACTGACATTATAACGAAAATTTAGGTACATACTTATATGACAACTAACAATAAAATAATAATATAATATAAGAGGGATCGTCTTTATCGTTTATTTTGTAACACTTGTCTGTATTCTGTGCAACTCGTTTTATATTTATCATATTTTCTACTTTGCATTGTCTGAAGAATTTCGTTTAAAATAGCAATAATATAAATAAAATGATTATGATAAATTTAATTCTGGAGATGGGGATATTTTTTATAAATTTTAGGTAAATCGTTTTCCTTAAATTGTAATATAATTTTTTTTTCGCATTTGATATTTGGAAATAATTTTTTAAATAAATTTAAACAGATTGCAACCATATCTAAAAAGTTTATCTGATGAAATTTCGAGGCTTTGTGTGGATTCAATGTTGTTGAACATTTTATTGAGTATTAAAATTAGTGATAGATCATTTAGATGATATTCATATTGTTTTTAGATAGATCACAATACCATATATGCATACAAATTTGTTCCAGCACTTTTTCGCTAAATATCCTGCAAAATAAACTATTGAACATGATTCCAATGATGGTTTCTCGTGTCTAATAATCGCAATTTTTTGATACGATATCTGACTGGAAAGGTACTTTAAGGAAATAATTTTTTAATTGTCACAAGAGTTTTCTCAGCAAATGTGAAAAATTGGGAAAAACGTAGAAAAAGCGGGAAAATCGGTACGATATTAAACAAATATTATTAAAGAAAATACATGAAGCTTATTTAATTATTTTATCATAATATGATATACATATTGTCGACAAAGCATCACTGTCGATTGAATTCCGCTCAGAATCGTTTTTACGATTAACTAATCATTGCTTATAGATACAAATTAATTTTTTCTCTATATCCTACATCGCCAACTTCTGACCAACAACAGCGGCTGTACCCATCGTGTGAAGTGTGACAGTCATTTTTTTTTTATTATTACATTTTCGTTTTATTTTATCTTTACTTAGTGAATGCAAAATATCTAATAATCGTCTAATCAATTACTTACCTAGTTACTCTCCTATTTAATATCATGTTCTATGTTTGACTTTAAGTAACATGTTATTTTTTCACTTCCCTGTGAAAATAGAAAATCTATGTTTTATGAGGCATTATTCGATATTGTATTTTCAAATTTATGACTGATACTGTTATTATTAAAGTTTGTTTTTAACATTTAAGTCTTAAAATACTTGAAGTTTTGTTTTGTTGGAAATAATTGTTTCATAGTCAATTTTGATAAGTACCGTAAACAAACAAGAACAATTTTTTCACGGTGCATGTTAAAAATCGAAACATTTTTTTTGTACGTTTTCAATCCTAAGATGATGCGCTAGCAAAACACGAGGGATCCGTGGCAGGCAATAATGTGCCGAAGAATAAGTTCTCAATGATCCAACAGCTCACCGTGTAACGTGCATCGTATACCTACTTTCCTTTAACTTTCATTTTTTTCTTTTATTTTTTACCATTGGCAATTTATTGTAATCTTAATACTAAAACAGCTTCTTTCCCTACAATCCTACCGGAACTATAATTAGTATTGTGTTTTCTTTATTTTGATGAAATATACAGCTAATTATAACCCATTCTTATTTGATCCACCATCTGAAGTATACATTAAAAGTTTATAAGCTCTAAAAATGTGTTGTTAAAAAAATAACGCGGTATGGCTCATGAGTCACTGATTAAATGTTACCCCTAATCAGTGGATATGCAGCAGGCCCTACAAAAAAGCCAAACTGTTATAATTTGTTTACAAAAATATATTTAAAAGTGAAATATATATGCAGAAAATAGCAATTACTACAAAAAATAAGCGATAGTTTAATAAAATATGTCTAGTCTATTGTTTTTGGAATCTAAAATATGAATTATTTTATTAGTAATTATTAATAAGATTAAGACCCTCTTCCACCGGGTCTGTGAGACATTAAACATTTCAGTACTCCCCACCCCCCTCTTTCTGAAGTTTAGGTCAAGTTATGCTTATGTTTGGTACCGACATAAAACCGATGGTTACATTGCATTTGAATGTATGAACGACCAGAGATTAGTCCTGAACTATGCCAGATGGCGTGGTTTTTGATAGTGGTGGATGCTAGGTTGGATAGGCCTGTTTTTTTTTTTTTTATGGATTCGCCGAGGCCCATTCAAGGAGTCTGAGATTAGTGCCGATGGCTACATGTATAAAATCCTACACGAATGACCTTTATATCTTAATTTAGAGCATAGTATATAATCAATAGTGCTTTGAATCTGTAGGAAAGTGCATTTTTTAGCTAATTGTGAAACTTAGCTTTCTAAATACATGAATTGAATTACGTAACAGCAAATTCATTTATGAAACTTGTATTTTGCATTTTTTTTGTATTTTTTGACATTTTTAATTTTTAACGTCAATTTTTGGACCTCTTAAGTCATATTTTCCTTTTTAGTTTGTAGTTTTTACACAGGCTGTATAGAAATCGAATTTATATTTTACACAAGCCATGTACGAGTAAGGTAAGGATTCGATAATATAAGGCAATATTGCTTAAATTAGTTATTTCTGGGCTTGCAATATCGATGTATCGATATCAGTAATATCAGTAATATCAAAATAAATACAAAAATTTAATTAAAAATCATTTTAAGTGCATTTTATATTGTATTCTTTGAGATTTTAAATGCATATTTTATTGCATTTTTTGTGCATTTTTAAGGTTCATTTCATTTTATTAAATTCACAACCATAGTAATCACTGCAATCTCCCACACATGTCCTTTTAACATGTGGCTTAAAAAATATTACGGTATAATCTCCTAGGTAACGTCTATTGCATGTTAAATCGAATTACAGGGGGTCCTGGGCCGTATACAGTCTCCTTAGCCTTCCACTTCAATCCGACTCTGTATAACCCGATTCGCATAATATTTAAATTTTTCAATAATATTGTGAACGCACGAAAGAAAACGATTTGAAGAAAAAAAATCGCCACATATATTTTATAGTAAAACAATAATTTCGTAACGATCGAATAATCATAATCAATCAAACACAATTTACACACTTATACATTAGTAATAATAATAATAATAATAATAATAATAATAATAATAATAATAATGATAATAATAATAGTAATAATATTAAATGAATTATAGTATAAGTAATATGTAATAATAGTTGTAATAGTAATCAACTTTATATATTATTATTATATTGAATAAAACGAACAAACTTTGATCGACGTAATATTTACGTAATTTTTTATTATTTGTATTATTATTATTTTTTTTTTTGGTTTATTTGTGTAATATAATTTTTATATTATTTAGTTCTAAATAGATATGATAGAGGTATATAATTATTATAATATTATACTTATATGTTATATGCATATTAAATATTATAGTATATAAACACACACGGATATAATAGTATATTATATTTTATTAAATTATAATAATATGTAGTAAATATATTATAATTCGATCGAATACAAATCTATAATGTTATAATCGAAAGAAAAATAACGTAATAATTATATAATTATAGTAATATATTGTTAATGTAATAAAACTTAAACAGAACATTGGCATCTTTTATGTGCGAAAACGCTATACCTAACTAATAATATAGTATTATTGCTATTATTTATTTATTTATTTATTTTTTTTTTTGATAATGCTTATATTCTAAATATTGTTTAATTTTTTTATGATTATATAATATATAAGTAGCGACAACGTGAATAAAAACAACTGTTTGCTAATCATATGATAGTATTATGTAAATTATTATAAATCAATAAACATTGCTAATAATCTTAAAACGAAAATATTATTATTACTATATAAAATAATGTCATGCTAATATTAATATTATACTCGACGGTAAAAAGATAATAATATTATAATTTTATTCTTGAATATTATTATATTAAATAGGTTATCGTAATAGTATTATACACACAAATCGAAAATCGGAATAGTACTTAATAAATAATTAATAATAATATAATATTAAAATTTTGATTTGAAATTGGAAAAAAAAAAAAACACAACAACACGATATTCGCTATATTTTAATAATATATAATAATGTTAAAGTCAACGTTAAAACACTAGATTAATGAGGACGGGGGTAGGGGTTCGGTAGGGCGGCCAATAATTTAACCGAAGTCGGTAATACGGTATTACAATGGTACGTACAGTGAAACATAACAGCCGCTTTGAAATATCATGCATGTATAATATCGTAAACGCAATATGGTTTTTTTAAAAAAATGGAGTTTTTGTTGTAAAAACCTTTGATGAATTTATTGAATTGTTTGGTTCGATGAGATAATCGTGATTGCGCGTTATCGGTACGGGCAAGGCAGTCAACGGCACTGCAGACGGAATAACGTAAAAGATTACTCGAATTTTAAATAAAGGAAACACAGCAAAAAAAAAAAAAAATCCGATAAAACAGTTAGAGGCGCGACTGTTGCAGTGTGTGTGTGTGTATGTGTGTGTGCGCGTGTTTATGAAACGGAAACGAAAAATCTTTATAACATTATGCGCGCAACGACTAAAATTTTAAAATAACACGTACGTTGTATCGCATTGAAACGTCCGCTGTAGACTCTGAACAATCACTACGGGTAACTCCTTATCATCGTTATAACAACAATTATTAGTTACTCATACGTATATTTATATATACATATATTTTAATATAATATTATTATATGTACACACGCGTTAATATTAGGTCTATGGTACTGTGTGTCTAAACGAAATGTCGTATAATGTTGTTGTTGTAGTATATATGGAAAAAAAACGTCCAAACTAAATTTTTTTTTTTTTTTTCAACGTAATATTTTTATTTTTTTTTTTCCCCCCCCCCATTAAATTTCCACGCCACAATATAATATTATAGCCGCCGTGTTACGTCATGATAATGCACTGTACGTCCGTCGCGTACACTGGCTGACCAATGGACTGCGCTCTCCTATCGACTTTACCCTGCCTCCCCAAACACGCCCGCCGTGGTGGTTCCCAGCCAACATAACGCAACAGGTGTCGTTGATGACGTTGTTATTTTTTATATTTTTTTCACATTTTCTTTTAGCCGGTGTTGTTTTCCGAATATTTCAACATGCAAGGCCGATTATCGTCGCGAATATTTCAAACAACGGTATAATATTATAATTTTTCGGGTCAATAAAAAAAAAAAAAACGCGCGCGATCGTCGAATAATAATTGACGGGCCGTTTCTTTTCCCACGGCCCCGGCTCGTTTCGAACACATTTTTTTTTCCGATCTCCGAGCGCATTTATCATCAGTTCTACTACTGCGTTTAGGCCCGTGCTTTCAGTTTATTATCAAGCGGCGAAATGTCGGATTATGAACACGCGCAGTATTCGTATCGCGGCCAGACATAATTATCCGGACCGCGGTCACGACGAGCCGACAGATGGGTAAGCGATGAGAACTACCTGCGATGTGCGCAGATATTACAAAATATCGAATTTCGCCCCCTCCCCCCCTTCCCCCCCGGCGATTACACATCGCTCCCGTTTTCCCTTTCGAGTGCAGTCCATTTTCACGGCAGACACGTCTGCGGTTTGCCGTCGGTCGGTTCGTTGGCGTGACGACGACGGCGGCGGCGCTGGTGGCGGCGTGTCACCAACGCGAGTCGAACGTGAATATTTTTGATAGAGTGTTTTTCGAATTTTCAATAATATTATCGTATAAACAATAACAACAACAACAATACAATTACCTAACTACACGTCTCGTGTTATCATACCTAGCCATTTAATAATAATAATAATAATAATATCATGATCAAATAAATTATGATATCCAAACGCGTATATCATATTACATTGTTATCGATTGAAAAACTTAATGGTTTTTTTTTTTTTATATAATTTTGTTTTCTTATAAAATTACAACAATATATTATTACTGCCGGTTTGTCGGCGAGGAACCAGCAATGTTGCGGTACTTTGGTAGATACTAAACTATAGTACAATATTATATTATACAATATTAAAACAATAAAAAATTAAAACGGATACAATATACATATAATTATAATTATGTTATAATTATCGTACGGTTTTACGCGGTGGGTTTAATAATTAATTGGGCGTGTATTAACAAGGATTGTATTGTTATGAAATGTTGCGTAAAAGACGCAAAACAGATTAATAATCTACGGGTATTGTGCATTAAAATTATCGTATTAAAATAATAAAGGCGCCCCGATGATCGTCCCGTGGAATGTTTTAATTGTACACGTATTTGCCGAAATCCGTAACTCGAGTTGCTCGTCGTCGTAAAACGGTAATAATGTTATTATGTTACACGAAACACTCGTACGCAACGTGATGTCCGGTATCAAACATGCATATTATACTGCATGTTGTATTGGTAAAATCGGCGAGGAACTCTGTTCGATGGGGGGTAATTTTGGAAAAAAACCGATTCGAAATCACGGTTTTTTTTTTTTTTTTTTTTTTAACTAATTGACAACTTTTTTTTTATTGTTTAGTACGAAATAAATAATAATAATAATAATAATAATCATAAAAAGAAATCCGACGAATAAAAAAACTAAATATCCGGTACAGTATAGGTGTATGGTAAAAACGATCGGTGAAAACTGAACGGGTGAATAACCGCACGGTAACATTGCGATTCGAAAAAGTCTAAGAAATGTATACGATATTAATATGTATGTGTATATAATGTTAATAAGATGTTATAATATTGTCACGTTAGAACCGCATTACTATATTTCATTAGAAGAAAAAAAAAAAAATTAAATGAAAAAAAAAAAAACCCCGAGTGTTAAAACAATAAAAAGGCCCGGGTAAAGATAATTTTGTTGAGAGAGGCGAAATCCTCGTGAAACGTTCACATTATTATTATTATTATTATTTTTTTTTTTTTGCAGGAAGTCATCATTAATAAAAAGAAAAAAAAACATTAACAATAATAATAATGATAATAATAATAATAATAATAATCATAATGAAAGTAATAATAATAATGATAATAATAATAATAATAATAATAATAATAATAATAATAATAATAATAATAATAATAATAATGGCGATAATATTTCAATATCGGGTAATAATAATATTTTATAATATAATAGGAGACTATTATGCGTTTAACGTGGAAAATAGTAAATGCGAAAAAAAAAACAAAAATAAAACCCCCTAGGTATAGTATTTTATATCATTATTATAATATCTTTGTGGAATACACGTTAATAATATTTTATTTCGGTATTTGTTTTTAAACGCAGCTTTCCTGTTGGTTGGACATCAACGGCGTGCGGACAGTGACGATTTCTCGGCGATGATGGTACGGCGGTAACCGGGACGATACCGCTGCGGTTGTCGACATGCCGTGGTGTTGCAGTTCCGGCCTGTAACCGTTGTTGCTGTAACCGGTGCCCACGACCCCGGCGGCCTGTAACAATAACGCGTGCTACATTATGGACGGAATTGTAATATAAACGCGAGAAATGACGACGAACCGCAAAGGCGTTCGAACGCGGTCAGTCATTTCTCATTCTTATAAACCGACTATCGAGTTTAAATTATTAGTATTAAATTAAAGTATTATATTAACTCGTCGTCCTATATGCACGCGAAACGACTAAAATCGACGCGGAAAAGCTCAGCAGTGTTTGAAAGCTGATCATGTTGCTGAACGAAATGAAAAGTAGGAGAACAAGCTGAACGGGTCGTGAATGTGTGTTGAACATATGAAAAACGGTAACTATCGGGAAATTTACGAAATGGACACTAGAAAGCAAACACCGAGACCACTAAGGCCAAGACAGAGACAGCAGGGGAGGAGTGGTGGTGGTGGTTGTCTAAATGTACTAAACTAGACAAAAAAAAAAAATATTCCACTGCATTAGGTACCTGTAATAGAATACATAAAAAGTTTTAGATTATGAGTGAAACGAGGAATATATTGGTTTTTTTTTTTATCCTGTGTATACAATTTATACCAGGAACCTCTCTCCGATTTTCAAATGTAGCCTGTTTTCCGAAAGAACATTTTATCTAGTTGGTAATTTTTAAAATAATAATTGAAACGAAAAACGGAGAAAAATGACGAAAATGTTCATCTTTTCACCTACAACAGTGGCCATCCCATAGTGCGAAGCATCTTTATTTTTATTCAAGTTGTGTATATTTTTAATACGCTACGAGCCATCCAAGCAATTTCGATTGAATATTGAATATGTATTTTTTTTTTTTTTTTTTTTTAAAAAAACGCAAGCGAAGAGAAACATACCGTATGTCGATATTTTTTTTTATTTTACGTAATCGATTGCGTCCATTTAATTAAATAGGTACTAATTATAATGTCAAACAAAAACGATTTTCTAATTTGTGTTGGAAAAGGATACGCGATAATAGATTATAGGCACATCTAATAGGTACTTTTCGGGCGCATGGGTACCGCCAGAAATCGAGGCAATATATATATGTGTGTATCGCGCGAAACTTTTCAGTTTATAGGTAGGTACCAAACCGCAATGTTTATCGAAGTTTAGTTTTACCGACCAATTATGGTCGGGTTGCATATTATTTACTTATTCGTGATTAATTGAACAGATAGCGGCGGTCCGCCCGCGAAATAATAGTCGTTCCGGCGAGAATTAATGTCGATTATTTTCGTTTAAGTGTGTAACAAACAAAAAGCCGGACATGCCCGCACCCTACACATAGGCCGGCAGTCCACATTCGAATGTATGAAGTTTGAAAGGTAATTCAGGTCGTATAATATATTGTGAGCAAAGGTTAATCAATGTCATCAAACAAAACGGTTCTGAGCGGAGATCCATAAAGATCTGGTAGGTTTATGATATAATTAGCAAAGTTATCTATTGTAGCCGAGGTAATCCAAAAGTCAGTCAACAAAATATATAACCGTCGTAATCTGTTGTCATTTTTTTTTTTTTTTTTTTAATAACTGTCAAGAAACTAGAAACATCGTTCAAATAAAGTACGGCAGGTATATCGCCGAGCAAAAATCCGCGTCTTTTTAGGCCCGATATGAACGATTCAGCGTAGTTTTACTAACAAAAGCACAAAATCGAAAATAATGAAATCATTTTTGCTATAAAATTTCCCCGTTTTTTTTCTACATTGTGCGTATACAGAAAAAATTTGACGAGACTTTAAAAAATCAAGAGATGATGACGAAGACCGGTGCAATGTTTATATGCAAAGTGTGTAATAGATCGCTGTCCGATGTGAAGCCATTAAATGTATTTAGAAAGTGCAAAAGCACTTCATTATTATAATATAAAATACGGATAAAACATTATCTTTTATAATACATATTATAAAATTCAGTCGCGTGTTTAGGAGGGTGGGGAGGGGGAGGGAGCAGGTATGGAATAGAGAAATCATATCGAAATATCGTATAACTACATATAATCGGGGTAAAACATAAAAATTGTACATTTTTCATTAACTAATATAATATTTTTGTTGGTAATTTATATTTCAATATGACCAAACATATTATTGATTAATTTATCTACCATTTGAGAGCTCATGTAGTCTCCTTCATATAATAGTGGTTCAGATTAGTTTTGTTTGAAAAAAAAAAAAAATGTATACTCTACCCACGTTTAGGTTTTTTTGATTTATGATAATTAGATATATAAAAACACATAAATTGTACATTTTTCTGAATAAAGAACTTTGAATTTAAAAATAGATATTTATATAAATAGATATTAAAAAAAGACCAAGGGGAGATATATCTCCGTTATTACTTGTCTCCCTCCTTTGCCGTATATATGCCACTGTTAATATAAGTACACCAACCTATTACATAACTGATTATATTTTCTATTTCAGATTGATTTTTCTGGCAAAAAAAAATTTAATTGAAAAATAAGTAGTCGTATAAAAAAAAATTGGTATTAAAAAGGGTACAGAGATATACGTCACTGTTAATATAAGTTAATATAAGTACACGAATCAATAATAAATTGATTATATTTTCTATTGCAGATTGTTGCGAGATAACCAAAAAATATAATAATGAACATTCAAAAAATGACAAGATTAAGACCAGGGCCGGTATAGTGTTTACGTGTAGAGTGTGTAATAGATCGTTGACCGATGTGGAGCGATCAAAAGTCTTCAGAACGGTCAAAAGTACGTCATACTATTATAATAATATATTTAGTTACTAATACGTAAGTATTCAGTAGTTTATCCAGGAGGAGCAGGTATTGAGTGTGAAACAAAATTGCACGAAAATTCGAAAAATCACGGTGCACCGATTAGATATTATAATATATTCTTTTTTCAGAAAAGACACTATACTCGAAAATCGGAGAAAGACTTCTGAACGAAATGTTGTTTACAGACACGCAAATCAAATTTTATTAAAACAAATACATTTTTTGCCGCTCTCAGAAATTGAACGGAAAAAATTAAAACTTCAAGTCAGACTTCTGTTTAGGTGCCTACGCATTGTTTCAGAATTTTCGAAATCCGAGAAATTAACATATTTGTGAATTTGTATTGTTATTATTATTATTATTTTTTTTTTTTTGGTAAGGGTCGGATTTTGGCTTTCGGGCAGTAACGGGAAAATCCTTATAATAATCGCCGATACGTCGTATCACGACAATGTTATTATTTTCACGAAGAGGACACTTACGCGTCGAAGGGTGTTGACAACGGGACGCGAGCCAATAATACCACCGTCGACCGGAAGTGTCGGGTAGCCGGCTCGTTCGTCGTCCGATGATTCAGCAGCTTCCAAGTTTTTATCGTCATTATCATCGTCGTCGTCGTTCAATATCATCGGCTGTTGTTGGATAACGCGGTATCCGATGTTAACTCTGGTTCCACCTGCATACACATAATACATTATTATAAATTCATGAAAATAGCATACGTCCGTTGTGATATTTAAAAATGTACACGCAATTTTTCTCGAAAACAAAAAAAAAAAAAAGGATATCAACCATTACTATTTATACGAAATGTGAAAATGATTAATATTTTACTTAAAACCGTAAAGTGGAAAAACAGCGTGTCACTGCGGTTGTTGATTGCAACGGAGTGGACGCGTGATAACCACATAATATGCGCAGTCTTATAAACGTGCGACATAATCGATTTGCGTTCAGATGGGACAACTTTGTGCCGTTAATTTTATCATTAGAGTAAATTTAAATCATGTTCGATTTATTTTATCAAACTTAAAGACAAGAACATTGCAGTCTGCGCAACGTCGGTCCTGTTTTCGCGATGTTTTGATTTTAAAGCGAGATCTCAACATTATTAAACTGTGACATTTTATGCATTCTTTTCATTCTGTCTTTTAAAAAAACAAAGGATCGAAAAAATAACACAAGCGATGCACGGTGTTAATGTTTTAATTTTTGATGTTGATCCGGCCGAACGCAAATTGGCCGTGGCATACGTTTTGTAAGACGGAGACGACACGTCATGCGAGTATCACACGCCTGTAAACCACATACTGTACGTAATATAGTGTGTGCGTTTTCAAAATTTAATTAGATTGTACTGAAAACTAAATAAAAATCGACTCGAGCCCGTTTTCTCCGGAATCAAAAGATTGCATTACGTTGTATTGTGCGCACAGGCGTCTGGAGTGTTCGCAAAGTATCGTTTTTGTTATTACACCGCGAAAACGACAATAACATAACCGCCCAAGTACAATACCTAAGTTGCAGCGTGATTTTTTTTTATTAATTAACTATTTTCCCACTCGACAATTTCGTCGTATCCGAATTATCGGTGCGAATCGGTTCCCCGGTTGTAACGAAGGACATATTATCCGAATCGGTTTCTAGATTATTTCAAAAGCAATTACGACTTTCCTACCGATTTCGTACAGACTCAAAGATGTCTACACATTACCATTGATTGGATATATATCGCAATTAACGTGAACATACACTCAATGGTATTACCTACGCAAATGCAAACGCCACTTAATACGTAGGTACACA